CGCGTCTTACTTTAAGTATATACACAAGAGCATTGGTCTATGTAGATACCATTAACAGTATCTGTAAAATGCCACTGTTAAACGCTGCATTTGTATCTGTGAGTGTAAGTGGCCGCTGTTAAGCGCTCTCTCGAGATTCTCCACGTTTCTCCCTCGCACCATGCATAATGTTAGCATAGTGCATTTTGAATCTGTAGATACTTTAACAGTATCTGTAGAGTTCCTCTGTTAAGGATTTATGGTTTATTGTTCATTTGTATCTGCATGTAAAGTAGTAAGTAGTATCTGTAAGTTACCACTGTTAAACCTTATTAACCATGAGAGCGCGGAACTCTCTTAATTCTCTTCACTTTTCTCCGTCGCACTTTTTTTTTTACTTTTTATTTTATTCTTGAATTAATAAAAAATTGAATTATTAAAAAAAAAAACTAAAATTCTTCAGGTTTCAAGTTCGAAACATTGGAACTTGGAATATAATAATTAGAATTATTTTTTTTTTCCTATTATCATCATTATCATGATTATTGTTTAAATATTGTAATGGAATTTGAAAGTCTAATCGGGCAGGTCTTCCTGCTAATGGCAGATGATAGTTTATGTTAATTGGAAATTAGTTAGTCGCTAAAAGAAAACTCAGTAAGTTTGTGATAATTCACACGATGAACATTAACTAGTCATTGTTTGTAAAAACCATAAAGATATGTAATATAGATACAACTGCAGCACTTTTTTTCGAATCTGGAACTACATTTTTTAAACTTGAGGAAAATTTCAAATAAGAGCTTCCTATAAATAAATGGGAGTATAATAATAATATACTTCATACACTCTTGCAAAAGATATCAAATTTTATATCCAACCCACAAGATATATTGTCTTCAGAGCATGCTCACCATTTCGAAAGCAATAAACTATTAATATTAGGATTTTACTCTATTTTAAAAGCAGGAAACGGTTTAATTTCAACCACGAACAGCGACTTACCGCCGCATGGGCATGAATGCCCCAGGCATGGCCTATTATGTTTCTGGATGTGCTACTTACAAGACAATAAAAAATATGCGCTGACGAGTGCCAATTGGATTTTCTCAACAGGGAATAATTAATTAATCTGTGGGCAACTATATGGGTCACTGTAGTAATTTATAAAGCCGAATTTCGTTTTATTGTTGGAAACTTTTGCAAAACTATTTATTAAAAATTTATTTTCTATAAAATCAGAGGATTTTGTGGCCGAAACCGTGAAGACCACTAGAGCCATTCGACTATACCATGCTACTAAAATTATGTTGTAGCGTGGCCTAAAAGAAACAGTAGAAGAAAGACAGAAGCTTTCTCAAACAGGCGACGACTACGATGGAAACAGTTTAAAAGTTGCGAGCTCATTGTTGCATGTGCCCCGGACTTGGGGAGATTTAAAGAAGAGAATGCTACAGCTAGAAGCAAAAGCCACCGTTTAGCAACTTGACTACCTAAACCGCCTTCCTTGTTCCCCCCTCAACCTGTCGCTGCTCACTCATCTAGCTGTTCTAGTGAACTGTTGAGTGAACTTTGCTTTCGTTATGAATCCAAATCCGTCTAGTGATAGCAGCGTGTCACGACTAATACCATAAGAGCGATAGTTGTTTTGGCAATAATTAACTTTTAGCAGAGAAATTCAAGTTGAATTCAAACCAAGATGTCATGCTCTTTGAATCTTTAACCAAGTTTTAAGCGTATTCGTTAACTTGAATTCGTCGGTCTCGGCCAAGCGTGATACAGTTAGAATAATGGTGATTGATAAATATTGCCTATGCACGATTTTCAGCATTTAATTGAAGTTTGAAGCGCAATGTCCCGAAGTCTTTCCCGAATGGCGGAGCTGCTGTTACTGCTGCTGTGTGGGTTCCAGTCACCAGGCATTAATGAGGTTGGTCTAATTGATGGCAGCTCTTACAGTTTTCTCTGCTTTTCCCACTGCCTTTTGTACTCTTTTCCACCCACACACCCTGAAAAGGGTTTCTTTAAAACTAATTTCTTTGTGGACAACAGTAGGAAACTTGCGGCAACCCACAACCTTTTAAAACTAACATTTATATAGGTTGGGGCAAGACCTTCATAAATCTTAAAAAAAAAACTTAGGCGGGAGAAAAAAAATTCATTTTTGAAGGGTACCCTCTAGAAAATTTTACAAAATATCTAACCAATTATTTCTTTTATAGATTTTGATGTAGATTTATGGAGAATAGATCTACGAATCTTTTAAGGTATTCCGCTCAAGAATCGGATGACTATTTCCAAAGATATAACCTTTGTTTGGAGTCATATAATGAATTTGAAGTTGAATTTTCAAAAAAAGATCCTCCAGAAAATTTGACAAAAAATTTAAAAATATATTTTTCTTTTAGATTTGGATGCAAATCTATGGAGAATCTTCCGAACAATCTTTTAAGGTATTCCGCTTAAGAATCGGATAACTATTGCCAAAGTTGTAACCTTTGTTTGGGGTCATATAGTGACTGCATGCAATTCTGTAGATTTTTGAAGCGGTACTTCCAGAAAATTAAACAAAAAATTTAAAAAATTATTTTATTTTTATATTTAAAAGCAGATTAAGAGTCAACAAATATACGAATCTTTTTATGTATTCCGCTCTAGACATCTAGGATGTAAATTGTAAAAGATAGAGAGATTTTAAAGGCAGTTACAAAGAAAATTGTCTAGACTTTGAACTCCAGGCTAATATATGTTTGAATTTTCAATCACCGAACGCCAAATTAATTTTAATCAAGAAACACTAAAACTATCTTCAGCTGCCTGACCTAGTGCTCCACTATTGGTCTGTGATCCGATGGATGAAAGGCGAAATCATACTATTCTCCATACTTTCTTCCATTCTTTTTTTTTAAATTTTTTTTTTGCGCGCCTTGCAGCTGCCGTATATGCGCCTGCGCATATTTTTATGAAAAATAACAAACCAAGTGCCGCCCACCGGTTACTGAGCCATAATTTATGCGGCGGCTTCTCTGTTTGAGGCTAAAGTGGAAGAAAAACTATTCTTGAGTAGGCAAAGGGGAAAAAAGTTCTTTCTAGTTAATAATTTACAAAAAAAAAAAATTGTATTTAACTGTATAGTGGCCCTAATTAGTGGATGGTGTTACTTTGCTGTATTAAAATGGTATTTGTAGGCCAGAAAAAAACATAAATAGTTAGCTGAGGGTTAAAAGAAAATACTAGAGGTATTAAATATTAATAATAGCTTATGCCAGGACGATTATTATCCATTATTATTTAAATAAAAGCAAAGAAAAATGACTAGACTTCTTCAGTATTACCCTTCTCCTATTACCCCTTTTTCATTATTTTATATTTTTTTAAACCTACCACTTAAACATAAAATGTACAATGTTAATCCAAGTGCGGGATCATAAAGAACCACAAGTCGGATTTCCTGCAAGTTTTCATGTTTGTTCCACATGCTTTGGTCGAAAAAAGCCACATAACTGATCCGCCCCAGCCCAAAAACAAAGTAGATCACTGCCTTTTGAGGTATTTTCTTCAGCTGCATATGGAGCGCTTGGTGTACGCATACTCTGCCACAGATAGTTCCCAAGGAAATAGAAAACATTTTTTTCCTGAATCGCTTTTCTCAAAATCCAACAAACCAATCCAGTTACCTCCAGCAAGTAACAATCGTTGGCCTGGCCAACATGTCTTCCCTTATTTGTAGACTATATCAGAAACACAAATCAGATGGAAAGATCTGTCCAAGAAACAAGCGACGAATAAACAAAGGCTAGGCTAGAAGCCTAAGAAGAGTTGTTGGGCATAAGAATCCCTAAAAGAATGTCTTCAAGTTGTCTTCGTCTGTGAAAAAAAATGGATACAATCTTCAACTGATATTCGGTGGCTAAAACCCAAAGGTAGTTAAATAAGAAACTATTTTAATACAAAGTAAAAATTTAGGTCAAGTCCCATCCACATTACTGTGACTAGGTGACTAGTTGTTTCAACTACACAACAAACACAAATGTTTCTATTTAAATCACCAAGCACAAAGAGTCGAGAAGAAATAAGGTGGCAAAGGCTGCAAAAAAAACAAAGCTACAAGTCAACTGGTATAGGGGAAACCGGAGATCCGTAACTGCAAACAAGTTAATGAATGTATCTGACAAATAAATATGCTTAGAGCAACTGAAGCATTAGCGCCGAGAGAAAGACGCGACAAATAGTGTTGGTTAAAAAGAAGAAAACAAAAAACAATGATTATAAAGAGCTTCAACAACTCAACAACAGCAATTGGCAACAATTAAATACACTGAGGAGGTTGCATATCCACTCGCTGCAAACTATTCTTAAAAATAGCCAAGGCTAGTAAAGTTTTCGACATGCAAATTAGGGTCAGGTACTATATTCATGGAAGATATTGGGGGACTATAAAAATTGAAATTGCTTGCAAATTGCATCTAAATGGTTCTTTATCTATCAACTACCCGAAATGAGGTACATGGTATATGAGTATAACTTTAGCTTGGGTATCTTTACCTATAAGATCTAGCTATCTATGGATAAAGTACAGCCAAAGGCCTAAGATGCCAAACTTTTATATTTTTTTTTTTAAATAAATAGATATTGTAAGACATATAGATAGTTATATATATATATCTATAAAATCATATAGAACCGATACAAGTATTGTAGTATAAATTATGTTAGAAGGGGTTCTTTACATTCTGAGATGTAAGAAGACGTGAAGACTATCTAGAACCCTGTAGTCTACTGTGGTAGTCACCCACACCCTTTCAATCTAAAAAGGATTAGTTCTAAATGACTTCACTTAAGCAGAGTGGGTATGATAGAAGTCTACCCGGATGAGGAACCCTTGAGAAGAGGTCTTTGAGAAGATCGCCTCCTATATACTGCGTCAAAAATATATCTCCTTATAATTTTTTTAATAGAAAAATATGTTTTTTTTTTTTTAATAATTCATTTTTTTATTCAACAATCTTGTCTAGTCTTCGATGAGGTTTTTCGATTAGGAATCCTTTAAAATCCACCGTAATAGTCATGTCCGTAGCTCGAAACAGCAAAGGACTTGACGACAGGCACACTGTGAACCACAGGAACATGCTTTACCACGGGAACATTCTTAATGACTGGGACGTTCTTCACCACGGGAACGTGCTGAACCACAGGGACACTCTTCACCACCGGGACGTGCTTCACGACGGAAACCACTGGAGCTACATGGGCCACAGGCACCACACCGTAAGATGGGGCAATGTAGCTGGGAGCAGCGAGGACCACCGACAAGAGGGCGAAGAATACGGCGATCTACAAAGTTTATATTTTTTTGATGAGAACACCAAGGATATCTATTAGTACTTACAAAACGGAACATTTTGAGGATTGTTTTAGGGCTTGGAACTAGGAGCTTTAGCTACTGAAGAGTGTAGTCGATGGACTGTATTTTTTGACCATTGGCTTCACCTTTTTATAGGTATAGGTTCTACTGAATATGGCGCTAAACTTCTGCTAATATATTATGACCAAACACGTTTAATTATACTTGAGTTTCCATAATACGCAGCACAATGCGTATTATACTTTTGATAAAAACTTTCAAAGTTGGTCGCGAGCGGCGAGACCATTCTTTAATCTGTCGATTGTTAAAAATTTGTCATTATTTCTGTTCAATACCTTTACGTTTAAACTTTAAACAATTAAAATCTTTGCGTTCGTTTGCCCATCTTTGTCGTTATGTCGATCGCACCACGCGTGGCTGATGATCGGTCAGAACCAAGGTCGATATATCGACATAAATATCTACCAAGACGACACCTCTGGGTCAACTGATAGGTCCATTCTCCCAATTAAACCAACAATTTATACAAAGGAACGGATAAACCCGTTTGGCGCGTGGTCAGAGGGCACCTCTAAGCCTCATCGCGGGCCTATATAAAGAAAATGGTTTGGTGGAAAACTATCAACAGTCCACCGACTCAAGCAGAAGCCACTTCACTTTCAAACGTATCTATTCGGAGATCTTCTTCTAAACATGTTCCGCATTGTAAGTAGAAGGATCTATTCCAACTTCTTCATCAATTAATATAATCTTATTATAGATCGCTGTTATCCTCGCTCTGGCTTCGGTGGCTCTTGCTGCCCCCAGTTTTGTTGATTCACACTACGGTGTGGTTCCGGTTGCCCACGTATCTCCAGTGGTCTCCGTTGTGAAGCAAGTGCCTGTGGTGAAGAGTGTCCCTGTGGTTCAGCATGTGCCGGTGGTGAAGAATGTCCCTGTGGTCCACCATGTTCCCGTTGTCAAGCATGTTCCAGTGGTCCACAGTGTCCCTGTTGTGAAGACCTTCGCTGCCCCCGCCTACGGTCATGTCATTTACCATTGATTCTCCAAGATATTGATTTGAATTGTACCAACGATGATTAAATAAAATGTTATAAATAATAAATCAAGGAAGTTTCTTTTTTAAAAACTACTCTTTTGATAAATTTTGTCAATTAGAGCGGATAACGAAATCGACAATCATTATGTTCCCAATTGGGTTCGAAACTTGAAACCCTTCTCTTTTAACTTTCAGTTTCGTGTAAGACCCTTTAACAAAACTTTCAGGGTTTTACAGCAGAAGAGAAAGAAAGAAATGTATGTAGTTATAAAGGATTAAGTTTAGGTATTAATATTTAGTAACTAACTCCACTATTGAACTTAAATGTTTAAAGACCTAAGTAATTCAAAACCAAATTAATGCTGAATCCAATTATCTGGTACTTCATACGTTCAACTTGAAGCTCGCAGCTTAAACATTACATTTTATTGTGTACTTTTATCAAACAATTTTTTTTTGTTTTGTAGTTGATGCCAAACAATGGCAACTAGTTGGTCAGAGAGTCGGACTAAATAAAAACGAAAGTTTATCAAAGGTTCAGTTGACGCGAAAGTTGAACTATAACTGAAGTTAGCAGCGAGTGGACCTGCAGTCATTGCCGGGTTTCGGGCTAACTACTATCCAGCTGATACCGTGGCCAGTTTGTGTGTTTGTTTATGTTTTATTGCCGCGCGGCAATTGCAATCAACTCGGTTAAGCTACCCAGATGGCCATATGGTCCACATTTATATTCAATGCTTGACTATGGAGTAACTCAACGAACTAGGCGAAAGGTTATATCCAGCAATCGTTATGTAAATCCGGTTGTGGGAGCTTTGCCGCCAAAAAACAATGAAACCCAGTTGGATAGAATTGGACAGCTAAATTAGAAATGCAATCCAAATGCGGTTATTCATATCCTCAATAATCCATAAAGGGTTCGATTGAAACCTCAAAAATATGACTCACACAATGACCACTTTGTTGCCCTAGCCTCCACGATAAGATAATGTATTCCACGGGGCACTATTAATTGAGGCTGTCAACAGATTATCGAAAGAGGTTGTTGGAGCTGAAGCTGATTGTGAGGAAGTAGTTGGAGCTACCTCTCCCTTTTCGTTCACTTTTCTTAATTATAGCCCAGCGATTTTTGAAATGCTAACAAAGGGTAGAAGTATTACGTTTATGGAGCTATAATTTTTGGAGCTATGTTGGAGTTATTAACGATGATTTCATAGATTATGCAATGGTATGTTTAATCGAAAGACGGGAATGCTTGTAAGTTGCAAGAAAAATTAAAGAAAAGGGAAGCTGTTTTGTCTAATTATATTCAAAAATCATTGCTCTTGAGGCAATCGTTCATAAAAGTTTTTATTTATTTATTATATTTTTTTAAAGTTAACTTGTTTATTTATTTAGTCATTGGTTTATTTGTTTAGTCCTCTACTAGAAGATAGTATAAATCCTTTAAACTAAAGGGTTACTACTACTTAAGCTATGGTACTTATTACTTAAAGAAGGATCTTTTCTTAACAAAGTGTGGTATAGTGTAGTTAGTTAGTGATATTATAGTATAGTATAGTTAGTTGCTTCCAAATATTGAAAGGTATATTAAAATATTATAGTTTTTTGGAGGGGAAGATAGCCGAGGGGTATAACGCCTTCCTTAGTGTGAAATAGAATGAAGTATAAGTATATTTTGAAGTATATGATGAATTTAGTTGCTATTTTTGATGCTATATCTATATTATCTATGTTATTGTATTATTTTTATTATTTATTAAAGAAAACTTATATTTACAAAACTTATAATAATTAAATTATAACCGCCGGCACCTTACGCCAGGGACTGAGAATATTTTAAACAAAAAATTAATCTCTTTCTTCAAAAAACATCAACTCACCGAGTGAACTGCTAAATGCCTTTGCAGATCCGCGTTACCAAACAAGGTCAACTCTGAAATGGTCGGCGAGGATTCCAATTTATTTTCCATTTCCCGGAGCCAGCGTCGCAGCTCCTTGGGATCCTCACTGAAGCCCTTGGGTTGCGTCTCGTCGGTCATCTGGAAAGCAGGCAAAGACTGTATAATGAAGCATACTTTTGGGCAGAACTCGAATAAGACAGCCCACCTTGACGCAGCCCTCTCTGGACATTTCCAACACTGCAGCCGCTCCCTCAATCTCACAGCGTGCCTCCTTGCAGGTGTCCAGCAAGTTGGTGTCCATGATGTAGTTGTAGTTCGTTTGGATGGCCGCCCACAGGTCGTCCTTGCCGGACGAGCCCAGTCCCAAAGTGGCGTTGCTGTGAAGGCTGTTGGAGCTGCTGTGTCCACTGCCCCAGGAATACCGATGCATCTTGTTGCTGCTTCCACTCTGTGAGTTCTTCTGCAAAGGGACATAGTATTATTAACCTATAAAGAGTATCATCATTACTGGCCCACTCACCTTAAGGCTATGATAGGGTCTCTCCAAGTGGATCTTGGCCTGAACGACATTACGTCGCTCTAGATGCTCCTCACTGGGCGCCTGCAGGGACATCATCGAGTGCGATTGCTTTAGAAGATCACTCTTGAGAAAGTTCTCACTGGAGCGACGTGCCTTGCCCTCTCTTTCCATACCGCTTCCATTTGATATACGATTTTGCTTTTTGAGGGAACTACTTCGACTGCCCGCCTTGTTGGGGGGCGTAACTGGTATGGCAAAGGTTCCATCTAGTTTCGTTGTATTGTCTCGGGTGGCAGAACCTTCGTCTCCACCTGTTATTATGGCCGCATTTTCAGTCTCTTGGTTGGTTATCATAGCTATTTCCTTATCTGAATTTTTTTCGTTCTTGATTTCGATTTCAATTTCCATTGTTTCGGTTTCCATTGCTCTCTATTTGGTGGTGGTGGTGGTCCCGTGTGGGTCTCCAAGTCTTGATGTCATTACTTCTTTACATTCCAAGGATGATCCTTAGTCCTTGCCTAGTACTTCTTAGTTGTCCTTCTTTTTCTAAAAGAAAAATAAAAGATATTAGTGATGAAGCTTTGTAGTTAGACTCTAAAGACTCTCTACAAGCCTGGTGGATACTTGAGACTTGCAGATAATGGCATAAGAGCTTCTGAAATACGATCTGGAAGACCGGTGCACTTTCAGGTGCCTGGAGAAACACAAAAGAACCCACAGAATAGCTGAAATCTTACACAACTCGCATAGTTTATAACCCAATAGCAGCCACAATCGAGAGTCCAGCCAGTTCTACCAAACGGGTAACTGGCTCTCCGGACAAAGGCCTTTTAGTTTAAAATCCAAAAACTTCAAAAGAAGTGAAAGAGCTGCATGTGTGTGGCGATGCCGATGGAGATGGAGATTGTCGAACAAAAACGCATTCGAAATGAAATAGAAAGTAAAATCCAACAAAAAAAAAATCCAAAAATGCAAAAAAAAAAAAAGAGCGTCAAACGATCACTAAAAATCTCGATAACTACCAATATCAGATGAGGTGGTGGGAAGGCCTGTCTTAAGCACCACTGGGTGTTGTTGCAAACATGTTTCTTGTTAGTGTTGTTGTTGTTGTTGTTGTCTAGGCCAAAGATATTTTTTTTTCGGGTTTCAGTTTGGGGTCCAGCATGACCTTGTTAGCGGAATTCTTGTAATACGAGGCGCCCACTGCAACCAAAACTAGTAGTCCGAGTCCAAAACTGCATACTGGGGGGCTCTCTCTCTTTGGCGACGACGGCCACAAATAGTTGAAATTCACTCGAGAGCCGGCAAATACAGAAAATGTGGTCAGTGACAACTGGCAGGTAGTGTAACTGGATGCAGAGTGGGTATATGTATTTAGTTATGAACTTGGTTATGACCACACTCTGGGAAATTATATAGAAGGCAGTAGGGCAATAGTTAGACTCCAACCAGGTCATATTCCACCTTATATAGCTTCCCCCTAAAAAGATAAACCTTGAAAACTTGTTATATAATTTTTATAAAATATTCAAATGGCCAAAAGCTTTGAGTTTAGGGCCCAAAAGCTTGCCGTCAGCAGTGCCGTGAAGTGGAACGACACTTGAGTGGGCCGAGCCCCGCTATATGATATTGAATTGCAAATATTGATTAGATCTGATAAACCAAATAACTGTAACTGGAACTGTACAAAGTTCAATTGAAGAAAAGGTAATCCAAGTAGACCTTTAACCTTCAAGTCACTTCAACTCGAATCTAGACTTCATTACAAGCCACAAAGTTCAGGCGAGAGACCAGCCTCTCCCCAGACAGACAGACAGAGTATCTCTAAAAAATTAATTTTAAAATATTTCTATATATATTTTAAGCATTTTTTATAAGCTAACGAGAGACTAATCTTTGGCGAATCTCAGTGATGGCCGACGACGACGATGCCCAATTCGATACCGTGGACTCGGGGGCCTCCAAGACCTTCCCCATGCAGTGCTCGGCCCTGCGCAAGAACGGCTTCGTGATGCTTAAGGGACGCCCCTGCAAGATCGTCGACATGTCCACCTCGAAGACCGGCAAGCATGGCCACGCCAAGGTCCATCTGGTGGGCGTCGATATCTTCACCCAGAAGAAGTACGAGGACATCTGCCCCTCCACCCACAACATGGACGTGCCGCATGTGAAGCGCGAGGACTACCAGCTAACTGACATCAGTGACGACGGATTTGTGACTTTGATGTCCGACAACGGTGAGATACGGGAGGACCTCAAGGTGCCCGAGGGCGAGCTGGGCGGTAGCGTGCGCTCCGAGTTCGATGAGGGCAAGGACCTCATCTGCACCGTGCTGGCGGCCTGCGGCGAGGAGTGTGTCATCGCCATGAAGATAAACAGTGGCTTGGACAAGTAATCAATAGAACTAACTAATAATGCCAAGCATTGGCTTGAGAACCGATCAATAAATGGATCATCTGAGTGTTCTTTTTGAGTTTTTTGAGCAGAGAGAGCTTTTCCAGAAGACTATATCTCCAAGTCTAGCTTGTACTGTGGGGGTATGTGGGGACAAGGACGGGCAACCCAAATAAAAAGCCAGTCTTTGGTGATGAATGGATGAGGCTTCCAATCCTCAGGTGCTCGAGTGGTGAGCAAGAAGCGTGTTACTACTGCACACTTTAAGATACAGATACAAAACAAAAGATACTACAACAAGTTCTGGGGGTGAGCTTTAAAATATGCTTGGCTTGTCACGTGAATCATCACACCCTTCAGGTGAGTTATACCCTTACAGAGGAGGGTACTATAGGGATAATCAGTCATAGTATAGATATATAGACATAGTCCCACCATATAAAGTATCTTCATAAGCGTCACCTTCCCTTCTTTTCTATCCAAGCAGTATATAAGTCGTATAAGCCAGGATCGCCCGACTATATCCTATAGCTGTCATATATCAGAACCATGGGAAGGGCTCCAACTTTCGTGTTTTTGAATATAGAACATAGGAGCTTCTATTTTTCTATTTTTGATACAATTTTGGGCCATCTGCTCCGATTAACTCAGGTTTATAAGAATCGGTCAACTATATCCCATAGGGAAATGCCCCAACTTTCGTGATTTTAAAGATAGAAGATCGGACCTTCCTACAGGTTATATTTTTGGCCATCTGCTCCGATCTATATCCGATATTTGCGATTTATATAAACAATCTGCACTGAGAGGGTATATCAACTTCGACTTCACCCAAAGTAAGCTTTTCTCTTGTTTATGTTTAAAGTTTATTAATTTAAAGTTTAGACATGTTTCAACGCCGCTATTATTCAGGCACCTGCCAAATCGGCAAAGTTGGGCTGTTAAACAAGACCCTAAAGTTTAGAGACCATTCATATAAAATACTTTATTCATTTTAAATTTAAATATTTCTTTATTTAGAACCAGAGCTGAGTCTACTTTGGTTGTTTCAAGACAGAACCTGAAAATGTACACAGCAAAAAACGGATTGACTGAAAATAAAAAATATTTTCCCGGCTTGTTGGGGTTTTAAATTTATAATTTGCTCCCTCAATCAATAAAATGTATTATAAAAATCCTTTCATAATTTCAGAATTTTCATACGGAACCCACTCTATGATTCGCTCAGTGTAGAAGATCGATTCTCGCACCAATACAACTATGGGTAACTTTTGTTTTGCTATCTTCGGGCTCATTCCAGCTTTTTTATAATTTAGGCTTCTTAAGAAAAATGTCACTTTTGATACAACTCTAAAACGTGGAAGTCGAATCTTAGCGATGGCAGACGAACGCGAACTAATTAACTTCGAAGGCGAAGAACCTATCAGATACGTTCCGTGCTGGAATTTGCACAAAAATGGACTTGTGGTGCTGAAGGGACGTATCTGCAAAATCGTCGAAACGTCCAGCTCAGGCTATCCTGAAGACTCTTCATCGAAAGTCGACCTGGTGGGCGTCGATGTCCTCACCCAGGAAAAGTTCGAGGGTACCTTCCCCTCCACCGAAAGGCTGGAGGTTCCGATTGTGAAGGACTACCAACTAATTTGTGTCGGTAACGATGGATTTGTGTTTCTGGAGTCGGAAGACGGAGACCAACAGAACCTCAAGCTGCCCGAGGGTGACCTGGGCGGAAAATTTCGTTCAGAGTTTGAAAAGAGCAAGGAGATTTTGTTCACCGTTCAGTTGGCTGGCGAAGTGGTGCAGATTATTGACGTAAAGGTTGGTAGTTTTGAAAAAAGTGACGAGGAATAAAATAATTATGTCAAGCAATGACTTAAGAAGCGACCAATAAATGAATCTTGTTGAGTTTTTTAAGGGAGAGCTTTCCATAAGACTGTATCTCCAAGTCTAGCTTGTAGTGTGGGGGTATGTGGGGACAAGCACGGGCAACCCAAATAAAAAGCCAGTCTTTGGTGATGAATGGATGAGGCTTCCAGACCTCAAGTGCCCGAGTGGTAAGCACGGAAAAACGGAAAAAGAACACCAAGAACTGTGCTACTACTGCACACTTTCAGATACAGATACAAAACAAAAACAACTACAAGTTCTGGGGGTGAGCTTTAAAATATGCTTGGCTTGTCACGTGAATCATCACACCCTTCAGGTGAGTTATACTCTTACAGAGGGTACTATAGGGATAATCAGTCATAGTACAGACATCTCCGACCATGTAAAGTATCTTAATCAGGATCACTACACCTTCTTTTCTATCCCAGCAGTATATAAGTCGAATAAACCAGTATCGGTTGACTATATCCTATAGCTGTCATATATCTGAACCCTGGGAAGTGCCCCAACTTTCGTGTTTTTGAAGATAGAAGATCGGAGCTTTTTCTATTTTTCTATTTTTGATACAATTTTGGACCATCTGCTCCGATCTTCTCAATTTTATAAGAATCGGTCAACTATATCCCATAGGGAAATGCACCAACTTTCGTGATTTAAAAGATAAAATATAGGAGCTTCCTACAGATTCAATTTTTGGCCATCTGCTTCGATCTACTCCGATCTATATCCCATATTTGCGATTTATTTCTGCGATTTATTATTTATGTGCACTGAAAGGGTATACTAACTTCGACTTCACCCAAAGTAATTTTTTCTCTCTTGGGTATGTTTGTTTATTAATTTCAAGTTTCGACATGTTTCAACGCCGCTATTATTCAGGCACGTGCAAAGGTAAACACACACGTTTAGTCCAAAGCTACCTTGAAAATTTATTAAAGAATTTGAATCAAATACCCAAATGGGCAAAGCTGGGCTGTTTAACAAGACCCTAAAGTTTAGAGACCATTCATATAAAATATTCATACATTTTAAATTTAAATATTTGTTTATTTAGAACCAGAACTGAGTCTACTTTGGTTGTTTCAAAGACAGAACCTGAAAATGTGCACTGCAAAAAATGTAAACTGAAAATAAAAATATATATCCGACTTTTTGGGTTTTTTAAGTAAATTTTCTATTTTTAAAAATGTTTCAATTTTAATTTGCTCCCTCAATCTATAAAATGTATTATAAAAATCCCAAGTATTTTCATACGGAACCCACTCTATGATTCGCTCAGTGTAAAAGATCGATTCTCGCATCAATACAACTATTGGATAACTTTTGTTTTGTTCTCTTCGGACTCACCCTAGCTTTATATATTTTAAGTTTTTAGACAAAATATGTCACTTTTGATACAACTCTAACACGTGGAAGTCGAATCTTAGCGATGGCAGACGAAGGCGAACTACCTACCTTCGAAGGCGAAGGACCTATCAGATACGTTCCGTGCTGGAATTTGCACAAAGATGAATTTGTGATTCTGAAGAAACGTCCCTGCAAAATCATCGAAACGTCCAGCACAGGATTTCCTGTAGACTCTTCATCGAAAGTCCACCTGGTGGGCGTCGATTTCTTCACCCAGGAAAAGTACGAGGATACTTTTCCCGCCACCGAAATTGTGGAGGTGCCGGTTGTGAAGCGCGAGGACTACCACCTAATTTCTATCGGTGACGATGGATTTGTTACCCTGCAGTCAGAACGCGGAGACCTACGGGAGGACCTCAAGCTGCCCGAGGGTGAGCTGGGCGGAAACTGGTGTTCAGAGCTTGAAAAGGGCGAGGACATCTTGGTTACCGTTCAGTTGGCTGGCGAACTGGGGCAGATCATTGACATAAAGGTTGGTAGTTTTGAAGAAATTAAAGAGGAATAAAATAATTATGCCAAGCTATGGCTTAAGAAGCGACCAATAAATTAATATTGTTGAGTTTTCTAAGGGAGAGCTTTCCATAAGACTGTATCTCTAAGTCAAGCTTGTATTAGGGGTATGTGGGGTAGTCGGACAACCCAAATTAAAAGGTCTTTGGTGATGAATTGATGAGGCTTCAAGTGCCCAAGTGCTCAAGAGTGTTAAGTAGCAAAAAAGAGGCAAAAAAAAAACAGCGAAACAAATGACAAAAAAGAACACCAAAAACAAAACAAAAGAAACAACCACAAATTCTTTGGGTTTGTAGCTTTAAAATGGCTTGGTTTGTCACGTGAGTCACACCCTCCAGGTTGGCTTTTTTTTGTTATTTTCGAGGTATATGGCAAAAAGTAATCCTAAATGCACTACAAAAAATAGTTGAGACGAAAAGTATCTTGGAAATATATGCATAAACTTTTAAACTCATTCAGTCTTAAACTTTTATTCATACATATATCTCTTATCCCCTATCCATCTTTGATTAAGGGGGATAACCAGAAAAGTATAAATACCCATCCGCCATTTCCAGCTTTACATTCCATGCACTCTCCACACATGTATCTATCCTCTATTTATAGTCTTCTGCAGTCTATAGTCGGATATGATGAAACACTGGGCTGTTTAATCTTCAGAGGGCCTGGCCTTATAGGGTGTATTACCAACAGAAGGGCAGAAAACTAAAGATAAACTATAAGAAATATTTCCCTTGAAATTTTGAAATCTTTTACTTACTTAATATATGCATATTTTGTATGTTTATTTATTAATTTAAGATGTTTGGATGTTTCAACACCGACACTAATAAGACCCTCTTAAGAAACCACAAGAAAACCCAGCAGGTTGCTGTGATGTACTTGAAAAGAGAGATAGACAGATAGACAGAAAGAGAGTGAGAGAGAGAGCTAAATAACAAGACTTCCATGGGGGGAGGGAGGGAGAGCAAGAGAGATCGCAATCACCGTTAAATAATTTCATAATTAAAATTGACATCGAAAGTAACGTTGATAGAAGAGAGGGGATTGAAGGGGGAGCTATCGGTGATCGAGTATTTTGCCATTCCGCTCACAGCAAACGTGTTGATAAAAGAGAAAAATAAAAAGAGGAAGTAAGCGAGCATAAAGAATAGGCGTAACTCGAAAAGAAGCAAAGTTAAGCACAAAAAAAGACGCCCGCCTGCCCAGCGAAAAGAAGGAAACGCACACATATGCATCCAAATCCAAATGAAGTCAGTGAGAAATATTCCACCTATAAGCCGCAGATCTTTGGAATTTTCAAAGCTTACGCTATTTGTATGTCCAGGTCCGCATATTTTGGGTGCAGCCAGATAATAGTTTCAGCACGTATCCCGGTTTTTACCAATAATTATTTTATTTTCTTTTTCACACAATTCGCGGCAGCTTACTCACTCATACAAGTGCACGCACTGCAATTGGGTGGGTTTTTTTTTTTGTTATTTATCTACTCTACATTTCGCCATTTTGCAGGGCCATTTTGGCCACTATGGGTGGGTTTCAGCTTCAATGCTGAATAGTTTGGCACCGCAAAGAACTTTTGTTATAGCGCCCGGTTCAACAAAACAATTTTTTAAACAAATTATACACGAAAACAACACAAGCACGCGCGAATCTTGCTCAACGGATCAGATTAGTGTGGCCAATGGATCAGATTAGTATGGCCAACGGATCAGATTAGCGTGGCCAATTTGTTGCCAACAATTTTTTACCTTTTTTTTGGTCAGTATTTTTTGGTATTTCTTCGATAAATATCAATGTTTCATCTCTAACTTTATCAATTTTGGCGCCAAATTGGTTAGACAACAAAGTGGCTAAAAATTAAAAAAACAATTATTTTAATGGCTACAAAACGGGTGCTGACGCCTACCAAGGGAGAGAATATAAATTCTAACAACTGCTCACCCAAGAAATTCAAGTCCTTGGACTTTTCGGCTGGCCTGAAAAATAATGAGTGGGACACTAGCGACTTTGATTTTGATTTGGCGGTGGAAAGTGCCTTGGAGTCTGTTTCTGAGCACCGCTTGGACCTCAGCCAGTGGCAGCGCTGTACTGTGGAACAGGTGGAATGGATGCCAAAGACCAGAGAATGCAAGATCTTGGTGAAAAAGTCCACTCGCTCTGACGAGCCGGCAGAAACAGCCTTGTGTCACCTGCAGACTCCATGGAACGGCATGCGCCTGGAAGTCGGTGACACTGTTTCTCTTTTGGCCAAATGGCAGCCGTCTTTGGGCGCCTATCTTGTAAGCAAGGACTATGGTTTCTGTGTCTCCCACCCCGACTTGTTGATCTCCGCCACCACACTGACCGGCTCACTCTTTTGTCGCCGGAAATCAGTTCTTCAGGAACGATTCCGAGGTCTGGATTCGGGTAGTTCCATTGTATGTAGCGTTAAGTAATCTTTGCCATCGTAATAGCTTCATTCATGTCCCCTTCCAGATGGTCATTGGCACTTTAGTGCATGAACTGCTGCAGAGCGTACTTCTCCAGAAGCTTGCCACCAAGGATGACATACGGTTGGCTCTTCAGAACATGCTGGGCAGCTCGTCATTGGCCCACATGCTCTATGCCAACAATCTAACCCAGTCTGAGGTCGAATTGCAGCTACACACATTTCTAGATCCCATTTCCCGGTTCGTCTCCCAATATATAAACGGCGAAGCTCCTGACAGATATCCTCCAGAAGCCTTTCAGGGGCGCATCCACGAGATTCGTGACATTGAAGAGAACCTTTGGGTGCCTCAGCTGGGGCTCAAAGGGAAAGTGGACGTGTCAGTGAGAGTGAAGAGTCGGAATCAAACGGAGAAGACTATTCCGTTGGAGTTGAAAACTGGAAGAGCCAGTTTCTCCATGGAGCACAAAGGGCAGCTGCTTCTCTATGAGCTAATGCATTCGGTGCTGGGCAAGGATACCACGTCTGGCCTGCTGTTGTACATCAGGGAGGGACTCCTGCGAGAGGTGCCCAGCAGCAGAAATGAGCAAAGGGATCTGGTGCTGCTCCGCAATGATCTAGCTCATTGGTTGACCCGGGAGGTGACTCCTGGCTTGGAAAACACTGATCCTCTACCGCAGCTGCAGCTGCCAGAGCCCATACATCATCACAGTGCATGCGGTAACTGCGCCTACAACACCATATGCACCAGTTTTGCTCAAAGCGATGATAAGCTAGAGCTTAGTGAATCTCATCCTCTGAAAAAGCTCATGCCCCAGCTGCTGGGTCATCTTCTCCAACGCGATCACGACTATGTACGGCATTGGTGCAGTGTGCTGGCACTAGAAGAGCAACACAACCGCCAATCCAACCACTTTGCTCATTTTTGGACAGAAGATCCCAGTATTAGGCAAAAACAAGGCCGTGCCATAGGTCACTTGAAGCTGAGGAGTGGCCAGAAGGTTGAGATGAAAGAAGGACGCTACAAGCAGGGCTTGGAGCTCAACGAGGAAGCCGATTCCAGTCTGGATTTGAAACTCAGTGGTGTAAAGAACTTGGCTTGTCTGTTAGAGAATCTTAATATCATTACTTCTTTCAGTTCGATGTGGACGAATATGTGGTGGTCAGCTCCAGCTCACGCCTGGCCGTAGCATCGGGCTTCATAGATTTGCTGGAAAAGCGGCACTTGGTACTACGGCTGGATCGTGATCTCAGTAAGATCTACGAAGGGGAGACCTTTATTGTGGACAAAAACGAATCTCAGACCTTTTCCACCTTTAATTACACAAATCTGGGCTTGCTTCTCTCCGACGAGCCCCGATTCCAGGAGCTTCGTGAAATCGTTGTGGCGAAGAGACCTCCAACCCAAAGTAAGATTCTGCCCGCCCTGATATTAACAAAAGGCGCCAAGATGCTTTTGGCTCTAAACAAAGTTCAGAGGACTGCAGCCCTGAGAGCTTTAACTACCAGTAGCCATCTGTTGATCAAGGGTCTTCCCGGCACTGGAAAAACCCAGACTTTGGTGTCCCTGGTTCGTGTTCTTCATCTTCTCGGCAAGAGTGTGCTAATCACCGCCCACACCCACTCCGCTGTGGACAATCTCTTGTTGCGCCTGTTGCCTTTTGACTTGCCTTTGATGCGTCTCGGCTCTAGCTCGCGGATTCATCCCCAGCTTGGAGAAATCAGCGAGGCGCGGCTTACCCATCACTGCACTACTGTGGAGGAGTTGGCGACGGCTTTGGATAAGCCTTCAATTGTAGGGGTTACCTGTTTGGGCACAAGCCACGCTCTCTTCCAAAGGAAGAAGTTTGATTACTGCATCGTGGATGAAGCGACACAAGTTCTCCAGCCAACCGTCCTTCGGCCGCTGAGCTTCTGCAGCAAATTCGTCCTCGTTGGAGATCCGAAGCAGTTGCCGCCAGTGATACGTTCCAGCGAAGCTCGGCAAAGGGGTGCTGAGGAAACACTCTTTCACAGGCTGGACTCTGAGGAGGCCACGGCAGTCTTGAGTCTGCAGTATCGCATGAATAAGACCATAACCCGACTGGCCAACGAGCTGACCTACGCCGGACAGCTGCAGTGTGCCTCGGAAACTGTATCTGGAGCCCGGTTACAGCTGCAACCTTCAGTAAAAGCCTCCAAGTGGGTCCAAAAAGTCTTACAAACTCATCTGGATCAAGCTGTGTTCTTCATCAACACCGGAGATTGCCTGGAACGCTGCGAAAAGCTTATCAACGCCCGCATCATGACCACCTGTTCCTTCATCGACCAAAAATATGGAGATCAGGAAGAGAAGCCGAAAACCAAGTCCAAGAAGCGCGTCTCCAAGTACGCCAACGTTTGCGAGGCCGGCGTTGTGATGCACCTACTTGATTATTTACTTAAATCTGGATTCGATGCCTCCCAAATCGGAGTAATAGCTCCCTACCGCGCGCAAGTGGAACTCTTAAAGAAGCTAGCCGCCAAATTGGACCCCATCCTCGAGTGCAACACTGTGGATCAGTACCAAGGCAGGGACAAGGAGCTCATTATCTATAGCTGTGCCAAAACTGGAAGCAGAGTCCCCGATATGGAGCGTTCGAGGGAGTCGGAAATCCTGGAAGATCAGCGCCGGTTGACCGTGGCTATCACCAGAGCCAAGTGCAAGCTAATCTTGGTCGGTGACGTTCAATGCTTGGAGCAGTATGGACCCTTCAGGGAACTTTTCAAGCACATTCCAGAGCGGTGTCGCCTCAAATTGGAAGATGATCATAATGATTTTGAATGGCAAACCATTCTAGCAGAGCTGGATTTCAGTTAAAAGGTTAGTTCTTATAAAGGTTATTCTCATTTTGGGAAACAAAACATAAAATGTTAAACAATATTATTAAAAGAACTTTGTTTTTTTTATTTTATTTCCTTTTTTTTTTATTAAAAAAGATACATAAAGTTTTTTGATTGTAAAGCCGATCCACATCTCTGTTTTAATTAGTTTAATTTTATTTAAATATACAAAAGATAAGTCTGCCTCATCACATTTTTAAAGATGGAAGAGCTGCAACTGACTTGGCAGCTGCGCCATCTATCGGTGGTGTATTTTTCCTCTGTTCTTTGATCTTTGATCTTAGATTTCTAAATCAATATATTAAAAATTATAATGCTATCTGGGATAATTATAAAATAAAATCGTAGTCAAAATGTCAAATTTTGAACCTCATGAAAAATTTATATTTTTTTTATGGCCGTTTTATATTCTCAGATGAGAGCTTCCAACTTAAGAAACCATTCTCGAAAACAGCCTTCGGACCAAGAAAGTTTGATTTATTAAAAAAATGTAGTACTTTGAATTTACCTTCAGTCTAAAAATTTTTTAAAATTCAAAACTTACTCTTAGACCTTAGTAACAGTTTAAATATGACATAGTTCCGAGCAAAATCGTCTGTAAATTAAAAAAAACCTGAAGTGTTTACAAGAAAATGCTCACGAAATTCTAGGATAGTGGACAGTGGAGTATTCTGGCGGGGAAACATCCAAGGAAGTCTCGATCAGTTTCACCTTAAATAGGGCACCATGGCGTTTGTGGAGGAAGCGCATTTCGCGTTCGCCAAGAAGGTGGCCCTCGACTGGCGGGAACTGGTCCGCGAGAAGAAATTCCAAATGCTGGAGACTCCAACGGAGAGCTTAGCCAATGTAGAGTCACTGGTCTCCATGGCGCGCTCCAAAGCCCGGACCAGTTCCATGTTCACAGCCGAGAGGCGAGAGTCATCCTTCTACCGTGCCACATTCTCCAAGCCCCCCAGGGAACTGGAAATCGAACGGAGGGCGGGTAGCATGGATCCTGATCGCATTCGGGTGAACGAGGACCTTAACCTGTACATCTACCCGCCAGTTCAGGTGACCGAAGAGGCCCGAATGTCCCTGCTCCTGGATCCCATCTCAGTCTCAGTCATGTCACCTATATCTCCCATTATTCTCAGCAATCTTAGTTTAGTTTCGAAGCAAAACGACGCTGAATCTGTCAAATCCTTTACGGGGTAGACTCCTTATACTCCTTATAGGAAGGAGACCTGTTCACGAAACCTACAAATCCTAACACCATTTGAGCAATAAAACACTCGAAAAAAATGTTTAGTGCGTTGGTAGAAGTACCCCTGGGTGGGGGCTTAAAAATTACAACTAATTCTAAAGCCTATTCCTCACAATTCCTTAGCGACTTTGGCCTTTACCCGAAATCCTTTGGCCGTCCGACACGCCGTTCCACTAGCAAGGTGTCCGATGACTTTGATGAATTTCTGCGAAATGCATGACACTTGAAGCTTGGCCGAACTGGGAGTCCACATCCGGAAGGAGTCCCACGACAGGGAAAAAATATACTTTCCCTGTGCGCAGAAGTACTTCAGCCAATCAGCACGAAGTACATAGACTGGGACGTAAATAAAAAAATAAGGTAAAATGTCGTTGTCTCTTTCTACTGCCAACACCCAAGACACAAACCATGTATAGGGGCTGTTAGCTGTCTGTTAACTGTCCCTGACTTCGAAATACCTGAGAAAATATTGTTATAATGGGCTTGAAGGATTTCTGGTTACCAGAAGCTTATAATTTCTCCAAATTTTACCATTGCCTTCTTGGATTAGTCAAACGGAAGCGTGGCAAGTGCTTAAACAATGGAAACATAATTTTGTTTACATTCGAGGGCACATCCCTTATATATAGATTCCATCACCTAGAGGGGAACTGTCGAACCAAGGGCGAAACAATTATAATTATATGGTTACTTACCAGCAGGCGTGGTCGGCACTCGCAGCCCTCGGCTTGTGAGTCAACGCGGAAGCGTCCTGGAGGTGATAATTTGCATAAAAAGCTTCTGTTTATGAAGGAGAATTATTGAAAGGTATAATCTGCTAGGCAAGAAGGTAAAAAATTGGAAAAAAGTAAGAAAATCTATATAGCGCATTTAATATACAATGTGACTTTCAGTTGGAAGCTCTTAAAGTATCTCAAAGTATTTCAAGTTCGTATTGCTAATTGCACATATTTAATATGAAACACCCTTCCCAACCCTTAAGCTATTCTTTGATTTTGTGATTAAACTGACCTCACCATGAGAGGCAGGTCCAACCACTATATGTTTACCATCCCCTTCCTTGTGAACTGTGTAGAGGGCCGGGCTCATTAAATGCCACATTCAGCCGTCAATCAACCGCCTCCGGCTAAAGTCCAAAATCAACACCTCGAATTAACTTTACCTTTCTATGAGTATCCCTAAGCTATACTACATACCATCTAGCATACTATACCAGCAACCGACTTGAAACATAAATAATATCAGGGAAATTGTAGAAAATAGCCGTAACAATTTATGTTGACATTATCTCAAGAGATATTATTCTATCCAGCTCGGGCTGTCTTTTTTTCTGCGATTTTTTTTCTTCTGAAATCTAGATGATTAATTACCCCGAAAGAATATTTAAATATGAAAAACGATGCCAATGATAAGCAGGGCGGGAAACTTTTCCTTATTGCTCCCTGGTTGGTAATAAACATGAATCGTTTTTTACAACGATTCATTTTCCTTATTTTTTTTTTTTTTCGTTGGAGGTTGCTCCATCGGACTGGGAGTGCATTGGACTTTAACACTTGCAAGGTAAATTTTTAATGAGAAAGTTGGGGTTTTCGTATTAAATTCCTTTCATGTTACCTTTTCTTGTAAAAGCACCATACGCCTTAAGAATTTTCATTTTAGCCTCGTCCTTTGTCAGAGTCTGAGCCATAGACTTGCCAATAAAATTCGATTTTTGTCCCGGGTCCAGACCCCAAGAAGGGGCCAAGAAAAAGGTCGCGCTATTAAATGTAACTGCACTGTAATTTGCATAATTTTCTATTCATTACATAATTTTGTCAATTTCCGATACATTATAATTTGTTAGAGAACACAGGGGGAATGACAACATAAAAAAAAAACAGGAGCATGAACAGGATCAGAAAAAATATGCAAAGTAGCGGCCGAGGAAAAAATGGAACAAATTATAGAGGGGGTATATGCCATGCTCGCCCTCTTTGTTCTGGTTCCTTTTATTTGTAATTTGTTTTCAGCTTAAAAAGATTATTTTATGGTGAAAACAACCAGGACCAAGATGTTCAATATTTTATGCGCAATATGCCCGAATCGAGTTCTAGGCCACAACGAGGACTTCAGACGGGTAGAGAGAAATTAACACATTTGACAAGAAAGCTACCCGAGATATGCATGGGAGACAAGAGCATCCCAGGACCTGGGTCGAACGAAGCGTAACCTCAGCTTTGGGATAAAAGAAAACCGCATTCTAAGTAAACCCTAACCGGAACCAAAAGGAAAATCACGTAGCCATTATAAATGCAAATCAAGTGTCAATATTGCACGTTTGAATATTTTTGCCATAGGATTTTTATTTGCCAAACGAATGCGAATTTTTCCTATTTTTCTTTTCTTTATTCCGCAAATCAGCTAAGCAAACATCTGAGACAAAAGCAAAGCACAGGACGAGTGCAAAATCAATTGGAATCCCAAATGTCAACTAAGTGAATTCGAAGGACAATCAAAAATTCTGAAAAGCTAAACAGAAAATTGTTTGTTATTTAGTAAAGATGACTACACCACAGAACTACTTTTCCGCAAATCGTTTAAGGTATTCCGCTTTGGAATCGGATGATTATTGGCAAAGACATAGCCTTCGCTGTGGCTATAGTGTCATTTTCATACAATTTCACAATTTCGAAAGGGATCCCCCAGAAAATTTCGAAAAAAAATCTGAAAAATATTTTGTTCCCAGGTTTTGATGCAGATTGATGGAGAATCTATACACAAATCGTTTAAGGTATTCCGCTTTGGAATCGGATGATTATTGGCAAAGATATAGCCTTCGCTGTGGCTCATATAGTCATTTTCATACATTTTGCAATTTTGAAGGGGATCCCCCAGAAAATTTCGAAAAAAAGCCAAATATTATTTTGTTTTTAGATTGTTATGCAGCTTTGTGGAGAAAAATTTTACAAATCTTTTAAGGTATTCCTTATAAGAATATGAGGAATATTGCCATAATTTGGCTTGTGTTTGGAACCTGGATTTTGACATGAAATTATAAATATGTATGTGCCTGCATCTTGTAACCTGAGCTTTAATATTTTTGCATCACATGGAATCTGACCCCGGACCGAAAACACATTCGTGACTCCAAACAATACCAGCCAAGGAGTGATACAGAAAATAATAAATACAGCAGATGTATACAGACATGAGAGTCACGCCAATAAACCAACCGAAAAGGGGATACCCGAAATACCTGTCGTAAGGCCTTCTCCACCAACTGAGATAAGCTCAAGAGGTTTATTTGGAAGCCTACATTAGCTGACATTTCTTCTGTGGTGAGTGGGTTTTCGGGTGTCGGTTTGTTTTTATTCCACCGACCGGGCGATGATTCAAAGTGGAGGTTGTGTGGTGAAGGCACATCCTTGGCCTAATGGAAGACAAACATTTTATGACAAACTGACCTTTACACCCCCTGAGTCGTCTCCTTATGATTCGCTTACGCATTCTGGTTCTCATTCATTCAATTACATTTTTGCGCATACTCAGCACTAAAGGGACCGCTCATAAAGCGTCAAAATTTCGACCAAATGAGCAGGACCTATCATCTCCCCCGGTCAACCTTGTTTTCTTCATTAGAAACTGCTCCCTGGGGCATTCGATTTGTCTACGACCACACACATGAGTCCTGGTTCAAGTCAGGACGTTGAGGTCCACGACCACCCGACGTCAGCGCCATCAAAACGTTCGGCCTCTATTAAAACTGACAGCTCAACGACCCTCTCCCATGGTCCACCCTCCCCATCACTGGACACATCAGCTGAACCGCAGCGTAAACATTGCGGCTATCCAAATGGGCTCTTGTCCTTGGACTCTGGCCAAGGAATCGCGCCTCAAGCCTGGCCCGTGTCCTTCTGCCCTGTTCTCTTCGGTCGCGGATTTCCCTCGAGGACAGGGAAATACTTTGTCACACTCAGCACTTTTCCGGTTTATCCTTCAATTTTGTCCATTCATCGAGTCAAGGGGAGGGAATATACGGAAACCCTATTTGTTAAACACTGATCATTCATGGGATCTTATTTGAATACTCCCAGGGTCGACCCACAAAAAAAAACTATATTATTTTATCATACCATCACTCCTTAGTATCATTTATCTTAGCATACATAAGACCCTAAACAATATCTATAACTTTGGGAATTACAACCTATCCTATCCTTGTACAACTCATAAACTGCCTAAAAATATAATTTTTGGAAAGTCCAAAAAATATTTATATTTTATTGATCCAGAAACATCAAAGAACACTTCAGAAAGTAGGAAAACATACCATATGGTACAGCGCGAATAAACTTTTCATGAGTACTTTCCTGGTTCTCTTAAAAATGTATTTAGCAAACAGAAGATGACATAATTTTACTATTTCTTGTTAGAATGTAAACTTGAGACTTTCTTTAGTTTCCTTTTCATTAGGACCTTTTTCTCAGCCACTCATATAGTGAAGCTAATAGGCTTGAAAGGCTTGGAACGTCGTTAAATGTGGCGCATTCTTGCGTGGCCCCCCAAGGGGCATGGCCATTACTCCCCTTATGGTGAAGTGTGTCCCTTTTTGTTAATGGATAAATGGGCCTGGAAAATATAGCTTAAAGCAGTTTAAAGCATTTAAGGGGTGTACCCTTAGGTTTCAAACTTGATTCTCAAAACAGGTAAGGATACAACTAGACTTTTATTACACAAGATTTTCTGTGATTTGTGTTGGTGGTTCTTATTTACTTTTTTAAAACAATAGATGATGTAAGTTTCTAAAAGTAAATCATACATATGTGGATATACTCGTGTATTCCCTCCTCGATCTGCTCGCTGAACCCCACTAATGCCTTGCAAATTGACACTTTGGCCATTTCCCAAACGTCCCCTTTACAACGACTTGAGTCCATCAGGAAAGTGATGAATGTGCAAGTTCCTGGATGCG